AAGTTGTTTATCTAAACMCTCAAAAGTATTTATTAYCGATGYCATACGRAATAARTCAATAAATTRTTTTTATAAGCAATCCAAACACCCCTAARTTTACCCTAAATATTTTATAATAKWGTAAGCATAAATATATACCTTTGGTTTTAAATAAGATTTTGTGAACAGATGCGTGTAGAAGAACAGACAACCCCTCCGGGTTTGCATACTGCAGCAAATCTGCGGCTGTATGTCTTGTTCCATTTGCAAAAATAGTACCACCAGTTTTAGTACCRACGAGATGTTCAAAGGTATAGCCATTGTCGGGTGTGACCCCAGCTTCGACCAGCGATGCTCGAAGCGCGGTCTGCCAACCCCCAAGAGYRGGCGGAAAAACCATTACGCTTTCTGCAAATTGGTAAGATTCTTCGATCAAGTCTGCATCGGTTAATCCAGCCTCTATGTGATATTGTTCTTCGCCACGAGAGTAGAAGCCCGCATTAATTGAAGTACCACCACCCAAGACACGAGGACGTGCATTTATAACACCCTCTACAACRAATCGYTGAGAGGGAGAATCCGGTGATGTATCAAAGAAGTAGGTACCGAAATTGGCTTCAMGTGTSACGTTGATATTGGTATACGGTGAGCCACCACGTTCAAGTAACAGAACCGTCGCGTTTGCAGATAGGGTGGTGGCCACTGGGATTCCGGTGGTGCCGCCTCCAATAACGATGTAGTCGTAGAATGAAATCCTAGGAGCATMTGTTGCTTCATGSACGAATGTATAGTTTGGAGCTATAGAAACAAAACATTTAACCTTGTAAGTTTCTATCTTTTATTTATCACATAACAGTAAAAACACAAATCCATACAATCAAGTTACTAACCGATGAAGATAATGATGGTGTTTATATGTGTAGATATATAAAAAGAATACCATAATAACCATTTATCTCTATGGTATGCATATTTATGTATTAAAGTAATTGAAGATGTTTCCTCATTTTTATACATGTTATATATGTACATATACATGCATACGATACAGATGAACGGTTATTAAGATGCTAATTATAGATTTACCATKAGGAAGATATAGAATGCACTTACGTAATTCTGCGACACCAAAATCAAGTAAGAAAGTAACGGTAACAATCACAGCCGCGATCATCCTGCATGACCTAGAAACCATGAGATTGTGCTGATGATGATATATCTATATCTGTATATATATATATATATATATATATATATATATATCAAAGAACTTGAGAAATTTCTCAACTTCTTTGTGATTTTTGAGACAGTGTGATGTGGAAAAGAGATGAAAGTTAAGGTGTTTATATAAACTCTTGATAGGCATTGCATGCATCAGCAGAAAGAAGTTAATTATGTGACTAAGAGTTGACTTTCAGAGCTTCCTACTACGTTCAAAGAACTTATATTAATTCCAGATAATTTGACAATGTCCATTAATTCATAGGCATAGCAAACCTATATCATTATTTATTTAATAGTTTGACCAGGTCAATAAAAATACGTACGTACATCACTTGCATAAACTTATGTACCACGACAAATATCATCAATACCTGCTTAAAGTGACGTTTGGTTCAAACAAATGGGTATGAAAATGAAAATAACAGAGAAAATGGGAATGAATTTGCATTCTCTTCGGTTTAACTTGAAACAAAAATTTGGACTTATGAAGGAATGAACCTATTATATTATAAAAAACAAACAGTTTCTTTTATTTTCATTTATTAATTAGTGTTTAATACCTCTTACGAAACACCCCCAAAATTCACCACAACAATATTGCTTTATATGACGCTTAGAATGTCTAAGTATTCTCATGGCCGTTGGGGGAGGGCGGGTGGCGCATCCTCAACACCTATAAGAAATAGGGGCCCAATTTTTTTTTTTAGTATTTATTAGAAGTTCACTTTTTTTGAAAAGTTGGGCAAAAAATATAGTATCTAATAGGACCCAAAAAGACTTAAATATTATATTAAGGACCCAAACATGTACTAATCAATTACGTTGAAAAATAAAATATTTGAAGGTTAAATGATCATTCATCTTACTTTATTGCTTATTGTTTCTCTAAGTTTATACCTATTATCAAAGTCTAAAATTTTTGCCTAAAAAACCTTGGTATATGTTAAAGATATATATCATATAGGATGTTATTGACGATGAAACGAAATGATGATGCTATGTAAAAATGATATGGTATCTATAATTAATTATTGATTAATTTTGCTTCTATAAATACTTGGAAAAACAACTTTATATGAATTTTTTCGTACTTATTGAGGGGCCTTTTTTACATCTTGCTCAGGGTCTATATAAAAATGTCAGGAATGGGTCTGAGTGTCGTAATACAATAATCTAGATAACGTTTGGTAAGATGACATGATTGAACATCATTGAACACGAAAGGACATGGCAGAACTGGACTGGACAGGACAGGATAGGAGAGGCTGGATTGGACAGAACCGGACGGGACGGAACTCGACAGAACAAGTGTTTGGTCTGACTACGACCGAATATGTAACAAATAACCAAGTTGCCCTCAAAAGTTATTTGATGGTTTTATATATCATATAGTAGTTATAATTAACACAAATAAAGTAAATAATTAAACAATTTGATTTATAAACATCTTTACACAATTTTCATATACATAAATACATACATATATAATAGTACAAAATTAGAATGAAAATTTGATATAAATTGATGGTAGTTCGAAAAACCCGATTCGTACAAAGACATGAAGATGATATATAGTAATGGTGGTGGTGGTTCACAGTGGTGGAGGTAACTGTGACCAATGTGGTGGAGGTAGGGGTGCTGGTGGTGGTAGGTAGTGGTAGTGGTGGTTATGGTGGAGGTGGAAGTGGTTATGGTTGACTGTACTAGCGATGGCAATGGGCGGTGGTTGTCGGTGCCCGACGGTGGTTTTTGGAGGTAGAGGCAACGGTGGTTGGTTGACGACGACGGTTGTGTAGGACGTGAAGATGGTAGATGGTGGTGGTCGTAGTTGACATTGGTGGAGGAGGTAGTTGACGCCGATGTAGTGGTTGTGGTGGGTAGTGGTAGTGATAGCTGATGCTGATCGTAGTTATGGTGGTGGTGGTAGTGAATGGTGGTTATTGGTGGCTGACGGTGGTTGTGGAGGTGGTGAAGGAGGTTGTTGTAATACAGAAAGAAGTGGAGGTGGTGAACAGTGGTAGTGGTAGCAGAGATGGATGGTGGTGGTCGGTGGTAGACGGTGATTGTGGAGGTGGAAGGTGGTGGTCGGTGGTGGACGGTGATTGTGGAGGTGGAAGGTGGTGGTTGGTGGTGGTCGGTGGTAGACGGTGGTTGTGGAGGTGGATATGGAGATGGAAGGTGGTGGTCGGTGGTAGACGGTGGTTGTGGAGGTGAAGATGGTAGGTGGTGGTCGATGGTCAATGGTGGTTGTGGAGGTGGTGGAGGAGATTGTTGTAGCGAAAGATGAGGTGGAGGTGGCTGATGGTGTCTATTGGTGGTAGTGGTGACCGTGACTAGCAGTGGTGGCCACTAAAACAAATATCATATTAAAGTTTTATATCAAATTAACGAGAGTTAATTAGTAATAATTTAATTTGTCTTATTTTATTGTCTCATCTAAGTCCACCTATTTTGGTGGAAAAAGAAAAAGTTTTTTTTGTCCCATGATATCCCACCTTGTCGGGTCCATTTCTCTGTATCATGGCAGGCCAAACGTGGGACATTGAGTTGTCCTATCCTAAGTCGTGCCAAAAGTGGGACAATGAATTTTGTTCCATCCTGTCCCATGTGCCCAACAAAACCTTATAGAATCAAGTTTATAGGACAAAACTCTAAAACGTTTTATCTAAAAACGTTACGATAAGTTTATAAGACGTTTTTATGCATTTTAACCTTATTTTTAGGACATTTTTAAAACAAAGTATTCGATTAGCTATTTATGGCACCCTATTGAGAAGTATCATATAAAACCGCCTTTTTATCATACACGTTTGTGTTTTATGACATTTTTTCAAATAATGTCGTATAAAATAGTTAATATGATAATTTATTTTAAGGCGTTTTAAAAAACTTGTTAAAACTCATAAAAACATCCTATAAACCTGTTGTAACACTTTTCAATACGGCGTTATAGTTTGATCCTCTAAACTTTAGTCGTATAAAGTATTTTATTAGAACGTTTAGACATCTAAGACGTTTTATAATATGCCAATCTAGTTATTGCTTGATGATGCTTAATTTATTTTACCGGCATTACATCCTTTGTGTAATTATATTACATAACCGCTAATCGATGCTCGGTAGTAGTTTATCTTGCGTTATTAGATTGATCCTGTTATCCCTAATAATTTGATCATATTTAGAATCCAAAACCTCTTCTGCATATCGAACTTTATAGAACCACGGGGACTCCCTCTTTCCATATGGCTTATATAATTCGATTGTTGGTGGATTAAACATCACATTTTTGGCCGAAATAGCTTGCAAAATTCAGCCGACAAATAGAAGAGCTTTTTGTAGTTCAATGTATAAGGCAACTGAACAATCACTAGACCCATGTCAAATTCAAAGACCTTATAGACAGACGACARTGATGGTCAAATGTTGTAAACAGAAAACTATTTCGAGCCTCTACCACAACCAGTCAAATGATCATATATCCTTTCCACCACCTACGCCCTCATCATCTAGAACTGCCATGTCTACACGCAAASATCCACCTAATACACCAGAGGCTTCATTGTAAACGAAATTTAAATTGACTCCACTTTCATGCGACGAAACATATATAATATATATATATAKAGAGAGAGAGAGAGTTGGGTTCACGTGAGACAAGTCTGTTTTCGTGAGAACGTGAGATACGATTTTTACACTTAAAACTTCACAACATTTTGTTGTGAAGGTAAAAAAAAAGCCGAATTTTAACAGCAAATATACTGAGAAGGTTAACTTCACAGTGTTTTGCTATGAAGTTTCAATTGTAAAATGTGTCTTATGTGTCACGAAAACATACTTGTCTCACATTATCCTAAATCTCTCTCTCTCTATATATATATACTAGAAGGATAATCGTATAATGTAACGAGATACATTTCGGTTTTAATATTGTTTGTCTTTGTCCCTATCGATATAATACARTTTTGAGAAAACAATAATATTTTTATTTTTAAATAAAATATAAATTTGAAAAAATATATTATTAGTATTAAA